ATATATATATATATATATATTCATACGCGCCTGAGTTCAGGCTGTCAAACAAATCACACTGGAATAACCTTTAGAAAAAGGAAAATTTCCATGGTTTGCTCGAAGGCATGATACTGCCTGGTTGCCAAGGTCAAATCAGGTGCATTTTCTTGAGGAATTAACAATCAGAACCTTCAGCTAGCCAAGGCCCCATTTTCAAGGCAGCTAGGTGGTGTGTGAAAACCGCAATTCAATTGGGGCCAGTGTCTAGTTCATTGGATCATACGCCTTTGGATGGGGTAAAACTTCCAGGTGCCCAATCGATCCCTACTACAACCAGGAAGGTGTGTGTGTGTGGTTCGTAACTATTTGTTATTTGGTTTGGAATCAGGGTATTTAACCAACTCCCTTAGGTGAACTGCCAGTAGTTCACCTACCCGTTTATAGCACGGGATGTTGGTTTTTTATTCTATCACATTGGTAAAACACCTCTGCCACAGGAAGGCAATGAGCAGGGTTTCCGCCACAGAGGCTGTTTGAGACACTTGGTCATATAGGAGCATTTTGCGGGGGTGACCGGTCCTAACCCCTAACACTTACCCCAACTATACTGAGGTTTTTGGAATCGTTTCCACCATCGGTAGTTGCCTAATCGAGGACGGGGGTAGGGGGAAGACCGTTGAACTGGGAGCTCTAAGAGCACGAAACAACGACGGTCATATTGTGGTAAGCCGTCCCAACCACCTTAACTGGCTTTCGATAAGCACTAGCTAAAAAGCTAGAACCAATGCTGCGGCAGTTCAGTCAATGCTGCTATACAGCGTAGGAACTTGGACATAGTACGAATCTGCTGGGGCAACCGGACGAGTAATGCTGTAGTTAGGCGCTGAGTTTTAGATAAGCGCGGTCGACCACTGAAGGTAGTGGTCGACATTCATGGGCTGCGTTCGTAGGGGCATGTGCTCCGCATGTCGCCAGATAGATTACCACAGCGCCGAATGTTTGCCGNAGGTAGTGGATGAACAACGCCGTATTAAGACTCGGTACGATTGCGTGAGAACCCTAACCAGGAGACTCGATCGCGTTAGGTTCCCCGAATGGGATCCCGAGATCATCTTAGCCGATGATTAGGGACATTGAGTGATATGGCTAAGTGTCTCAAACAGTGGTGTTCGTACATTCCGATTTCTTTGTAACTTTAGTCTACTTCAATTCGCCATTTTCTATTCGAATCTACTTTCAACTTTCCTACCTTCCTCTTATTGCGTGATCCAGTTGAGTAGCCAAAGGGTAGCAACCGAAACTGGTGCAGAAAGTATATGTTTAATGGTTGTACAATCAACCAAGAACCAACCCCACCCGCTGAAATTAATCAGCAGTGATTGCCTGTCAAGAATGCTCTGCTTTCTGTTTGTCTAATTTGTTGTGTTGTTACACCCTGGATTTCTGCAATTGCTCTGCGTCTTCTCGACGCACAGAGATCATTCCTGACTGGCAGCGAGCATAATAAAACACGACTCGTTACGAGACATTTACTCAACGCAAACCTACAGAGGCCGCGAAATCTGGTGCACTTAACGCGCATCATAGATGGAACGTGCTCCCGTCCGGGATTAGCCCTCCGAACACATCGACTGTAAGACACGTAAGTTACCACTGTGCCAACCAGCGCGAATTGTCAATTCATGCTTTTTCAGGTGTTGTCTTCGGAGATAAGCAGTCAGCTCAATCTAGCCCGTCAGAAACTAAGGGAGATATAGTTGACTATCTTTCAACTCCAATCAAAAGCAGCTCACCAAATCGGGTCCACCATGCGTGTTACACCCCTTCCATGGGATGGGTCCGGAGTAAAAATCCCGGACGGATATGAATGAGCGGTAGACGGCGCCCGGGAGCAGCTTAGGTCCTCTTGAACAATGACGCCGTGCTCCTTCTCATTCGAGACGTATGGAAGTTGTTGATCTCCCAGAAAATACGGAAACCGAGTTGTGTCGAAGGGATACGACCGTACATTTTGATGGATTAAATTCCATGTCGTTTTCGATCGACCATTGATAGGCAGCATTAAGTGTTCTTTGGAGTTTTAGCGAGTCCTCTGGTTTTGTCACCGTTTTCCACATTTTTGCATCGTCTGCAAACATTAATGTTTGTGGCCCGATAATGT